CAGTTGGTGGTCGATTGAGGAATGAGGAAAGCAAAGTAATCGTTTTAGTTTGGCAAGGACAAGGAATCCATGTACTTCAAAGCCACGAAGGAGTCTTACGTTTGTGAGTAAGCATATTGGTCAGCCTGTTCACTACCATCTGCCTTGATGCATATAACAGAGATCATTAGACCCGGTATTAATTGTAATTTGCGTAAAGTGATTGAGCTTGTGCTACAAAAGGAAAAGTGTACCAGTACTAATGTTTAAGTATTGGTCCAGACAGTGTACTTGAGTGCAGATCTGAGACCGGCAGAATGACGGCTTTTATTTTAAGCAAATATTAATGTCGAGCCCTGCATCAAAATATACTTAAATAACTTTTTTATTGTCGTGTGCATGCCTCGATGATGACCCGCCCCAAGTACCTAACGGAGCCACCAGCGGATGTGTCAGCGACGCGCTATTATAACAATATCCTTTAAGCAACTGCTCTTCCGATGCGACCTCCACAGGCGAATATACTCTGACTATTGCCCAGTACTAACCAGAATCACAACCGAACTGAAGAGAAGAAATGATTGGATTTGACTAGAGTTTGAAACATAATAAATCCATGACAATTTCAACTATTAAAGGGTCAATTTTTTAAAGCGGAAATAATTTGAAACAAAATAATTCCATGAAAAGCTCAGCTAATAAAAATTCAATTTTTAAAGTGGAAAAGCTCCTGTAAAAGTAATTGCACGGATGTCACTGAATAGAAGCCCGTGCATACGTGTAGTTTTGCTAAAACCCTTCACATATTAGAAAAAAAGTGAGCTATTATGGTTTTATGCGTTTGGTAAGTCTGGTTGTTGTTAATATTATAAAATAAGGTTATTTTAAATTTCGAGATTAATAAAAAACAAATCGATCTAGGTAAAGTGGCTAATGGGGGTTATCACGGCTGGAAAGTATGTTTGACCGGCCAATCAAATCAAATATTCGCGTCCCGTTGTTTTCACTTCTTTAAAAAAAGTAGAAGGTTGCAAAACACCAGTAAAGGCACGCTGTGTGTGACGGGGTCACACAGCACCTTTCGCTAGAGGAAGCTGGCTTCCGATAGTATACAAACTCTCAGTGAACGGCAGTTCACAGGTCCCCTTTACCTAAAATGTGAAGTGACCAATGTTAGGTAAGTAAACTGAGTATATTTATAGGTAGGCTAAGCTTGAGTTAAATATACAAACTATAAGTCACCTATATAAAAGCAATGTCATCAGCCAATGGTTGGCCTCGGACGACCCTGGTACCGTGTACCAAATATCCCGAAGTATGACGTGTCACACTTGATAGAGGTCACGGGGTTTTAAGCAACGTCGGGCTTGTACGGAGCGAAGGGAAGGGTCACCACTCGGGGAGTAGACCGGAGCGAAGACACTTGAGGGGAAGAAGGGAGATTCCGAAGTGATTGATTTATCGGAGCTTACAGAGTCCTCACTACCCAGGTCATCCAATCAATTGGTGCATCCAATCACCAACACTCTGCACTCGTCCAATCATCCTACTCGTCTAATCAACGTACCGTAATTATCGCGGGATCGTGTTGGACCGGTTTGGCTACCGGTTTATGGGTACTTACCGCCTGAAACTGGTACCCCTCAATACGCCCCCTCAATGCGAACACGCGTTGACTCCGAGCGCCGCCGTAAGGTCCTTGTGACGTGGCCCCGGAAGCGGCTTCGTCATGATGTCCGCCAGCATCACAGAGGTCTCGCAGTACTCCAGCTTGACCTCACGCGCTTGACCTCATCACGAATGTGATGGTACTTGATGTCGATGTGCTTGGTC